CCGCCGGGATGATTATAATCACAGTGACAGATGATAACAAGTGGTGGCAAGGGTGTGGAGCAACTGGAACACACACAGTGCTGCTGGGAATGTAAAACAGATTGGGAAGATCACAGCTCAAGGCCATCACAGGCAAACAGTTGGTGAGAACCCATTTCTAAAATAATCAGAGCAAAATGGACCAGAGGTGTAGCTTAAGAGGTACAGCACCTGCTTTGCAAGTGCAAGGCCCAAAGTTCAAAGCCCAGTTTCACCAAAAATAAGTAAAACACACCCACACAAAAGCTTGTATAGAAATGTTCAAACCAGCTTTACTCATAGTATCTGGAAAGTGGAAACAGCTCAAATGTCCATCAACTGGTAAGTGGATAAACAGAATGTGGTATATTCAAAGACGGGAGTACTGAGAAGGGCAGGGCAGGACACAGTGGCTCACATCTGTAAGCTCAGCTACTTTGGGAGGCATAGGTAGGAAGCCCTGGACAAAAACACAAGAGCCTATCTGAGAAGTAAAGCATAAAAGGGCTGACAGAATGGCTCAAGTGATAGAGTGCGTGCCTAGCAAGCATAAGGCACAGAGATCAAACCCCAGTACTGCTTGCCAGGGTCATCACAGAGGAGAAAAATTTCAAGGTGTTTGCCAGTCTTGGCATGATCCACGCCAGTGGTCAGAGCTCTTCACATCCAAGCAAAAAGGGCCAAGGAAGCTGCAGAAAAGATGTTGAAAAGAAAAATAAAGAAAGCAATGTTGGAGCATTGTAATAACCCCTCAGGAAAATTACCGAGAGGGAGGGAGAGGGGGAAAGGAGGAGAGAGAACAGCATTAAACAAGGCTATGATCTAAAATCCTTTTTAATAATCTAATGTTTGCCATTACTAGTATGGATACATGTCATGTTAGTTAAAACAGGAACTTCTCTTTGTATTATCACTGCTTTATACATATTAACACATGCAAAACCTCAAAGACAGCTGGGTATGGTAGCACTCTCTAAGTACTTGGGAGACTGAGGCAAGAGGATAAGGAATTTGAGGCCAGCCTGGGCTACATAGCAAGACCCTGTCTCAAGAAACACAGAAAGAGGCAAAAAAAAAAAAACATAACAGAATCCTCAAAAAACACTGAAGTCAGGCTCCAGTCTTATTTGCATCGAGTTTCTAGGTCAAGTAACTTGCCCAAGGTCACACAGATGAAAGCTGAGAGAAATCCTGGTCCAGCAGACTTTGCACTGTGGTCTGTCCACTCTGCCATTTGTGTGTTCCCAGCAGGTGAACATTCCCTGGAGATAGCACAGCCCTCATCCCATCTTCTCACTTGCTCTACCTCAAACTCTAGTAGCATCTGGCAAGTACAGAGACAATGACAATAAAATTTACTTATTTATCCATCCAAATATTTGTACTTTTGATAGGTAGCATTTGTGCCACAGCTATAGATACGACCAGGTTCCTTTTTTTTTTTTTTGTGGTCCTGGGGTTTGCACTCAGGACCTCATGCTTGCTAGGCAGGCGCTCTACCACTTGAGTCACTCCACCAAATAGACCAAGTTCCTGAAGACCAAAAATGTATCATTTTAGGCAGTAGTAATTGCCATACTGGAAAAGTATGGAAAAATTAGGAAAGTCAACTGAGAAAACTGGCCCAAAGATAAGGAGTGCCTTTCAAGAGGGGACAGCAAGCATGCTTCAAAAGTCCTGAAAGAGATCAACTTGGCTGGGTGCTAGGAAGAGCAAGGTGCCACCTTCAGCAGACTGAGTGGCAAAGTGGTAGTGAAGTTATTGAAACAGATTCAGTTCAATCCTATTGGGTTGTGTAAGAAATTCAAGTTTTTTTTTTTGGTGACACTGAGGTTTGAACTCAGGGCTTCACACTTGCAACTACCGCCTGAGCCACAATTCCAGTACATTTTGCTCTGCTTATTTTGGAGATGGGGCGGGGGCGCAGGCGTGGGCGCAGGCAGCAGGAGGGTCTCACAAACTATTTTTCCCAGCTGGCCTCCAACTGTGACCTCCTGAGGCCAACCTCCCAAGTAGTGAGGATTCCAGATGTGAACTAATGGTCTCTGGCTGCTTTTTATTTGAGATGGGGTCTTGCTATGGTGCCCAGGCTGATCTTGCACTCCCAGACTCAAGCCACCTCCTGCCTCAGCCTCTCAAGTGTTGGTACTACAGGTAAGGTATTACAGGTGCATGCCAACATACCCAGCTTGGGGTTTTATTATAGATAGATGGCTGTAGAGGGTTTTGAGCAGACTTGGGCTGTAGGGATAGAATAGCATGTGCTTGGATAAGGACTATATTGCCACAACAGAGTAAGAATTCCTGGATGTTGTGTAAATGATGGTGATGGAGACTGAAATGGAGATGATCAGCAAAGATCAGAGGATGGTCTAAAAAAAAAAAAAATCCTGCTTTCAACACATTCATTTTGGTAAGCCTTTTAGGCATCCAAATGGTGTTACAAGTAGGGACAGGGCAGGAGTCTGACTCTGGAGATATCTGATGCATCACCACAGCGATGGCATTTAAAATCAAGGGTTGAAGTGCAGATCTGTGGAAAGTGCTCACTGGAGTACCAGAAAGTCCGGACCTTGCTGCCAAGAGATCCTGAAAGTTACTGGAGGCTGTAGCTGGTAAAGAGGTACAATGAAGAGTGGCTAGCCAAGCTGCAGGACTACCAAGGCCTAATGTTGTCCATATAGCCACCAATATGTATAGCCAAGAAGCTCCAAGTGGTTCAGGCATGGACAACATGAAACTGGAGGCTGCAACAAGGGCATTATGATTGTGACAACTCTCCCCACTCCACTTAATGACTGTGACAACTCTCCCCACTCCACTTAATGACTGTGACAACTCTCCCCACTCCACTTAATGAGTATCATCACTTGGGAGGATGATACTGTGTCTGGCCAGGTGATTTCCTAGATGGCCTCCATGAAGGATGGCAAATGGGAAAGCCAGTGTTACCTCCTAGAACCCAAGTGGAGAATGATACTCAACACAGGGGTGAATCACCACTAAGCCAAGTCCTGTTGAGAGGTCTAATAAAATAAGGATTGAGAACCAGTTCAATGTGGCAAAAAGGGCAGCCAAGGAAAGAACAAAAGCCTAATGAATGCCAGGGCTAAGTTAATAAATGGACTGAACAAATTAATGTCTAGACAGATGCAATAACATCCACTGGGCCTGTTTACATTAGAAACGCTAAGTCAGCAGTACCAACATTTTAGGAATTGGATATTCTGTTTTTCCTGTATCACAGAATTGTAGAATAGAAAGGAAACACCGGGCACGGGCCACTATGCTTGGCTCAGAGACTCTTAAGTTAAATAAAATTCTATTATTAATCATAGAGCCTCTGGACTACCTTAGTTTTGTTCATACAGTAGCTTCACCAAGCTTTTTTTTTTGATGGGAATGGGGTTTGAACTCAGTGCTTCCTGCTTGCAAAGCAGGCTCTTGCAAGGTAGGCACTCTACCGCTTAAGCCACATCTCCAGCCCACTTTGCTCTGGTTATTTGAGGATATGGGGTCTCACAAACTATTTATCCAGGCTGGCCTAAAACCATGAGTCTCCTGATGTCAACCTTCCAAGTAGCTAGGATTATAGTCGTGAGCTACTGGTACCCAGCTTCATCAACTATTTGCCTTGTTACAAACCTCTTTAGACACCCAATATAGAAATAGTTCTCTGTAGAAGGTGTATTAACTGTCTCTGTCTTTTAGGTTAAAAACAAACAAAACAAACCCTCCTCCTTGTAATCCTCAGCAACTAGGAAGATTTTAGTTAAAGGCCAGTTTGGGGAGAAGTTTGCAAGATACCACCCATCACAATCATAGCTGGCCTGGCCATAAACATCAGACCTGTTTTAAAAATAGCCAAAGCAAAAAAAAAAAAAAAAAAAAAGACTGGTGGTATGGCTTAAGTGCCTACCTAACCAAGCACAAGGGCCTGAGTTCAAACCCTAGTATTTTAAGAGCAAAACAAAACAAAAAAACCCCCAAGCCCCAAAACCTAGTAAGTTTTCCTGAAATCAGTATTTACAGGTTTTTATTTAACTATCAGAAAATGTATAAAATTTGCTGATGGAGTAGCTCAAGCCGTAGAGAGCCTGCCTAGCAAAGCATGAAGCACTCAGTTCAAACCCCAGTACCATCAAAAAAAAAGCAAAACAAGAAATCATATCAAATTAACCATGTACAAACATACTTAAGATTCCTGGTATCAAAAACCTCCTCTTTCTCCTTTCATTGTTGCTGTTTTACTTTATACTATGTAAGTCCAAGTTTCCTTAAATTATTTTGCTCTGCTAAATCTTTTTTTTGGATGCTACTGGCAATGGAACTCAGGAGCTCCCATTTGTAGACAGGTGTTCTACCACTTGGACCACACTGCCACCCTGCTCTGCTAAGTCTTCAATGCATAAATGTCTTGTTTACGGATAACCATATGCCTTTGCTAAGTGAACTCGTCCCACCTGCCTTTTATGTCCCAATTATACCTTGACTTTTTCTTCACAGCACTCATCAAAGCAATTATTAAAATGAAGATGGTAAACCCTTAGTTTTATCACCTTTTATTTTCCCTACTCCATTCCCACTCCACAAAAAATATAGGCAGTCTTTAATTTCTAAGAAAGGCAGTTTTCCTACAGTACTGAACAAGTAAAAGTGGCAAACAATTTTAAATTTAGAAATTTATTCTGTTTAATCCACAAGCTTTATATAGCTTTAGTTAAAAAAACAAACAAACAAACAAACAAAAAAAACCCCAGTGAAACCAAGACACTATTTCAAAGTCTGGGCCCTTCCAGCCTTCCAAATACAAGAGACCTGGTAAAGTTGTATGTATCAATTGGAAGAACAAGACAAAAATATGAATGGAACCATGACATTTCATAAAACAAAATTTTATATAACCAAAGGATCCTTTCTGGGACTAGTTAACTGCCTTTACAAAAGAGGGGGAAGAAAAAAAAAAAAAAAAAAAAGACCCTAACCAAAACATAACAGAATGAAATTCCAGTGTCCTGAATCAACTTGTTACACATCAAAACAAACCCACAGCATCCTGGCAAACATCATGCTCTCATTTTTCTGTCTCTTTCTAGAGCAAGAATCCTGATTCATTTCAGCAGAGACTCCACAGGCAACAGGAAAGATTGTGGTATTAAAATATTCATTTATACTTTTGTGGTAGCTCACCAGTGGTCTTATTTCGGGGCAAGCTTACAAACCATACAGGTTGGAAGCATAACTTACATGGTGCTAAGACTCAAAAAAAGTAAAGGAAAAAAAAGAAGTGGGGCAGAGACAAAAATCACCCTCTGGGAATAGCCAGGGGCATTTAAAGGAACCATGAGAATGCCAAGAATATTTAAACCCCCTTTTTTAAAAAGGGAAATTTTTTTGGCTTAAAATATCTCACTCTAAATGAATTATGTCAGCTGTCAATGAAAGAATGTCACTAACACACTGTGGACACCTTTTGCAATGTAAATCCATGCCCTTTTTTTACATTGTGAACTTCAACCTAGCAATTATTACAACAAATGTTATAGTCTAAAGCTCAAACACATTTTAGCAATTTTGAAATTGAATTGAATACAAACCAAATAAAATTTACATCATAACAAATATTTCCACCTAAGACTGTGGGGACACTTGAGCCTTCCGCATGGATCTCAGGGCCTTTTCTCGCAGGTGCTTTTCTAAGTCATCAAGGTTGTCCTCAGCTTCACTCTCAGTCTCCTGAAAAACCGTAACAGTCATTTCATTACATCTTGAGACACTGGGGGATGGGGGAGGGGGAATTTGAGTAAAGAGCAGAATCAAAATGCAGTGATAGCTGCCCAACCCTGGATGACTGGGTGAACTGTATGGGATGAAGTTTATCTCTAAAAAGTTATTTTTAACAAGGGGTGCATATTCCTACTCTTGGCAGTTTACTGAGAAACAGTTTAGAATATGGGTAATAACTGAGAGCAAATATACTAGAAAAAAATTTAACTACTTCTCAAAAACAAACGATCTTCTTCTGCACAGACTATACCAGGCAGGCAGAGTCCATACCTTCTTGGGCTCGGGAGCTGTCTCGGGCTCCTCCTGCACTGACGTGGCTGTGGCAGCAGCAACAACTGCGGGGGTGGCAGGAGCTCCAGCCACTGCAGCCACAGTCTTTTCCTTCTTGTGTTTTTTGTGCTTCTTGTGTTTCTTATCCTTTTTGTGTTTCTTGTCCTTCTTTTTCTTCTTTTTCTTGCCGCCTCCTTCTTGATCAGAATTCTAAAAAAATCCAGAAAAATAACAGTGATATTATAATCAATCTGATTAGAAATACCTAAGTATTTTTTTCCCTTGAGAGAATACCTAAAGACAAATCTCTGAACTTCAGGGAAGAAAAAGGCTCAAGGACAAGTCACCAAGAAGTCTTCCCAAGAAAAGAGAAATACATTTAAAGCAAAGAGATACTGTACAGATTCTAAGTTGGGAAATGACCTTGGAGGTAAATGATGCATACAATTTTCTTCAACCACAATGTTATGTTTCCCAACTTTAGGACGTAAGCAATGTCTCTAGGACTGGAGTGAGTCACGGGCTAACCCCAGATGAGATAATTTATAGCTCCTGAACTTGACAATTGAATGGGCTGTCTCTAAATCACTCAACAGTCTCACAGTACTTGGCTAACATATAACATGATTTTAATAAATGGAACCAGATATTAGTCTAAATAGGCACCTGCACAAACTTCATGTCTCTGGTCACCACCTGCCTTACCTATCCTCAGAGTGGGGGGCGATCTGCTCCTTTCCTCCTCAGTTTATAATGGTGCTGCATCCCAACAAACCAACAGCCTCATCATAAGTCAAAAATATCTTCTAGCAGGGCGCTGGTGGCTTACCCCTATAATCCTAATTACTTGGGAAGCTGAGATTAGAAAGACTGAGGTTTGAGGCCAGCTGGGTGAAACTGGAAGGACTCCAACTCCAAAATAACTAGAGGAAAATGAACTGGAGGTATGGCCCAAGCAGTAGAGCACCTGCTTTGCAAGTATGAAGCCCTGAGTTTAAACTCCAGTCCCACCAAAACAAAGCAACTCCCACCCTCAACCACCAAAAAACTCAACTTCTAAGTTTAAATACATTTAATACACACAACTTACTGAACACCATTGCTTGTGTTAAACATACTTACAATGCCCTACTGTTTTGGGCAAAATCATCTGATACAAAGCCTGTTTTATAAGTATTGACTATATCATATAATTGATTGAATATCATAACAAAAGTAATGGAAGTTTTTCTAATCACTAACATGGGAAAAGATCCAAATTCAAAATATGATTTCTACTGAATGCACATTGCTTTCACACCATAATAAACTCAAAAATTATTAATTTGAACCAACATAAGTCAGGGACTGCCTGTATACTAAATTTATGCAAAAGACAGGCACTGGTATAATTACATCTAATCTATAATTTTAAAATATCAAATTCATAGCCAATTAACTTGCATAGTTCAGCTAACTCTATCTAACTGCTAATTTTATATAATATAGGAATCTATCCAAGATCAGATTTGTAAGTTGAGAAGTGGGAAAATTATTTGAAAGCATAGTATTTATGAATGCTATTTTCTCCACTTCAAAGTGACTGTATACACATTTGTAAAGGATACCCAAAGCAAGGCAGATACATACCCTGGCCGGAGATGGGCTTGGTGTTGGGCTTTTAGCCTTTTTGATTGGTACCGCTGGTGACCAGTTTGTAGAGGGTGACTGAGACTGGACAGGCGATGGAGGTGCTGGAGGCTTTTTAACTGTTGGCTCAGGAGATCCAGAGACAGATCGGGAGGATGAAACCCTTCTTACAGACTGTGGGCTTGGTGAGGCAGCCCTAGTCACAGGAGGGGGAAAAAACAAAACAAAACACTTAGCATTGAATACAGACACATTCCTAAGAGTAAATAACCACAAGCTATAAATAGGTTACAGATTGTAAACATTACATCCCCTAAGTCTCCTTATAGGGTGGCTCAGGCCCCACAATCCCCTATCCATTTTGTTAAAGACAGTTCCTGTGTAACATGAGTTAATTCCAATGCCTTACATTTTATTTAAGACTTTTAAAAATCAGTCTTCAATGCACACATGAGAAATGCTCTATGCATCATCACTTCAGAGCTTAGTTTTGGAAGCATAGCTCTCAAAAACCCTGATACTACTAAGAACCATGTACAAACCTGCACCATTTATGTCTTAAGGAACTACCCTAAAACAGAGAAGATTCTGTAGATAGTACCTAAGATTTCCCTTAGTGATTTATAATCATAGCTTATTCCTTTCTAACTTCTCAGTAAAGGGAGAGAGAAAAAGCTTCCACATGCTATGCATCTTAGCATTCCTAACCAAAAAGCTTAAGGGGTATTTTTACTTTTTTGGCTTTTTGGGTTCCGGAGTCCTGGAGACTCTCCTAATGGGCCTAGTACTTGGAGATGGGGACTGCCTTCTTTGGGGTGATGCCGATGCTCCTCTTCGAACAGGGGGAGGACTTGAAGAGGTCTGGGGAGCTCGAGGTCGTGGTGAGGGTGAATGCCGCTTGTTTGGTTGTGGTGACCGGGCCTCCCGGGTAGAGCGGCTTGGGGAAGACCCTTTCCTATGCTTTGAAGATAAAGATGGTGAGCGTCTCTTGGCGACTGGGGGGCTTCTCTGTTTGGGAGGTGGAGAATGGGAAACCCGGCGCTTTGGTGGTGGAGTTGGTGAAGCTCTTCGTTTAGGAGGAGGTGGGGGAGAGGCCGTCCTTCTCTTTGGAGGTGGAGAAGGAGAATATCTCCTCTGTATTGGAGGAGAGTATCTTCTTGGGGAAGGTGAGCGCCGACGTGGTGGAGGAGAAGGAGTCCTACAAAAAGCACAACACACACCATTAAGGTCAAAGGCTCAACAGAGACAGGAAATTGAATGCAAAAAAAAAAAAAAAAAAAAAAGTAACCTATCTTGTGTGGTTAGTACAGGGCAAAAGGTAAAAAGAGCTGGCAGAGAACCTGCTTAGAAATCGTGAGGCCTTAAGTTCAAACCTCACGATTACCAAAAAAACAAAAAAAAAAAACCCTCTTTTGCTTAGCTCAGATGACTACAAAAAACGGATACTGTTTAATGGAGGAATGAATCTGCAATTTTTCAGAAAGCACTTAAATTTAACAACTCAACACAATCTATTTGGAACTGATTTAACATTTCATGTGAAGAGAACCCTGCATTGCTTGCAGGCAACTGTCAACATCAGTTCTTGCTTTAGAACCGTGTAGAACTGCGAAGGACTCTACTGATGATGGCCAACTAAGGAAGTCTTTCCTTTAAAGACCTCTCTGAACTGGCATCTCAACTCTATATTAATATAAGAATTCACTATTTACTGCACAAGCTAAAAGATACTTCTACTTCCCTTCAAAGCGACTGTCCCATATTCTGTCTCAAAAAACCACTTTTCAGTTGAAGTGTCTGCTGCTAGGACTGCATCTCTGCCCAAGTCTGCTCTAGCCTTCCTCTTGACACTTAATTCCCACACAATCCTAACGTTTCCTTTTAGGAGTTAGACTTGAACTAACACTCAGTCCCAATTCATAATTTGCTCTTGGTTCTCTTAGTGTTTGAGCTTAAAATGAAAACCTGACCAGAATCAGGTATATAATAGCACTGTCTAGGCAATGTGGCAGAGCACTTTCATCACTGCCCTTGGTTAACTATTTGGTAACTCTGAACCTCCATTTCCCTACTGAAACCAACAATACCACCTATCAAGCCAGGTCAACTTGAGGTCTAGAGGTACAAAACTGACAAAGTACCCAACACTTTGCCTGGTCCATGACAGGCACCGAAGAGTAGAAGCCAGCCATTACATTGCTCAGTAATGTGTAGGAGTGATGGCATTAAACCATTTTTTATTTTAATATGATTTCGTAACTTTAATATAACTCCCCATTTTTTATTTTAATATAGTTTTAGATTTATAGGGCTACAAGAATAGTTAGTATCTGCCAAGCAACAAAGTTAGTATTTTATTAAGCGTGATAAAAACCCACAAAACTTAACTCAGTACTGACTCGGTATGAACTGAAATACCAGTAACTTCCCAGTTGCCCACTAATGAATGTTGTTTTCCTATTCCAGGATCTGAGACCTCCTCAGACCCGTCAACCTATGACTGTTCCCCAGTCTTTTGTGACTGCCATTTTTTTCCTCTTTTTATTGCATAAGAGTGGTCACTTTTAGGATTAGGTTCAATTTGGGACTGCCCAACATTTCTAATAAATGCGACTGAGGCTCTATAATAACTAGAAGAGCTCAGTGATCCCCAGAAAGCATGTGATGCTGATACGTATGAGTGAGGATGCTGACTTTGATCATAGAGGTATATGGCATGATTCTCTACTGCAAAATCAGTGTTTTCTTTTTGTAGAACAAAACTACCTTTTTAAATTTAACATTTTTGATTGAAGTGTACAAGTTAAAGGTAGAAACTTTTGACTGTATAGTCATACAGTTGTACAACCACTGCCATTCCCCATTCTCACCCACCCCACACACAAACCATCATCTAGCTACTTTCATTTCTTTCTGTTTTTGTTTTCTGAGACAGGGCTTCACACTATGCAGTCCAGGCTGGCCTTGAACTCTCAATCTTCCTGCTTTACCCTCCCAAAAGTGCTAAGATTACAGACATGCACTGCCACGTCTTTCCATATAAATGGACTCATATGTAGTCTTTATGATTGCTGAGCAATGCTGCTCTAAGTTATTTCTGTGATAAAGATTCAGAGCTAGACCACCAGCATATCTGACAGTACCTTCGTCTTGGTGGCGGTGTGGGAGACCTGCGGCGCCGAGGAGGAGGGGGAGCAGGAGAAGGAGAGCGTCGTCTTCTGGTTGGTGGTGGGGAGGGACTTCTCCTCCGTCTACCACTAAACCAAAGAAGAATTATAGTTGAGTCTGAGTCAATGGCATGCACAGTTAAGTGTCCTGGAAAACATACTATAAGTCATTAACCCAAGGGGCAACAATTGGCTACTACATGTTTTAGTGCAGTGTTTTTCGAACCATAGATCAAGACCCTGAACAGGAGACAATATTTGTTTTGTGAAACTTGTTTCAGATACATAAACATGTACCTGGAGTCAGGATCTAAAGTCTTCTTAATTAGACACAGGCTGAGAACGGTTTGGAAGGGCTATCTCACAGCACTTCTTTTTAATTGGGATGCATACCAGAATCTCCTGGCAAACTTAGTATTTATGTGCACCAGATACAGGTTAAGTAAAGCCAGGTTTGTGGGGGAGGGACTAAAAGCATTGCTGCTACTTCGAGTTCTTAATTTTTAAAAATGTATCTTTACTGTTTGAGTTATGCACTATTACCTAAAAACATTCCTAAAGACAAATGACCAAAGTTATCCAAATATTAAAGCTGTGCTGGGGTAGCTTTTACGTGGTTAAAATATAGTTGCAAATCATATAAACCTTAATTCTGAACTCTACTACACACTCAACCAACCTAAAAGGCACATGAGTACTCCCACTGACTAACAGCAAGCAATGTTACAACGGACATATTAAATATAGACAAAGCCAATTTGTCACCTTCTGGGTAAGTTTACATATACAAAGTAGTAGTCAAAGAAACTGTTTTTTCTGGTGGACCTGGGGACTGGACTCAGGACCTGATGCTTGCCTGGCAAGTGCCCTACTACTTGAGCCATACTCCGGCCATAGCTCTTAATTTCTTGTCTAGGACAGGACTGATGCTTTCTATGAATCTGGAATTAGCTTCTAAAGTTTATTAGGTCTCAGTTCCCCTCTCAACCCAAGAAAATCTGTTAACTGCATGAAGAAAACCCTGAAATTCATTACAAAATTTAATTTCAATTTAAATTTGTATATGGTTTATGACAAACACTTCACATGGTACTTCGAAATCCTAGACATCTGCTGGTAATTTCTAACAGCATTAAGTGTGATGATGCTAAAACAACTTAAATACTGTTTAATGAGGAGAAGAAAAACCACCTTGGAGCAAGGAACAATAGTTTTATTTCACTGTGGTGAGGAATCTTTTTCCAGAATAAAAAGTAGTTCTATAATGGAGAAATAAATAAAAGAGGAAATCATACCACTAACTTAATTCTGTGAACTAATTTTTAGTTCTCAGGCTAGTAATTTCACAGAAGCCAGAGGTCAATGAAGACGGGAAAAGAATAATTTAGTATTCAATTTATATATATATTTTTTGAGGTTTCTATTTTTCATTGCCAACAGTCAGACACCAGTGGCTCATGCCTATAATCCTAGCTACTTGGGAAGCTGAGATCGAGAGGATCACTATTTGAGGCCACCCTGGGCAAACAGTTCATGAGACCCTCATCTTCAAAATAACCAAAGCAAAATGCACTGGAGGTGTGGCTCAAGCGGGTAGAGTGTCTGCTTTCTGACCACAAAGCTCTAAAAATTCAAATCCCAGTCCCAACAGGAAAAAAAAAAAAAGACAAAGAAATACTTTCTTTTACAGTGCAAATACCCCTGATTTTGCTCCATCCCAAACATAAATGACTAGTTGTTTCTAAAGACACTTTGCAATAGATTACTAAAAATAACAAGCTTCAAAATCTGAGATACAGAAGAGTCAGGTAAGTTTCAGATAAATACAGAATAAGCATTCCTAACCTGTTCAACATTTCAAATGACCCAAGATTCAAAAATTTCAGTGCCTCCTGATATTCAAAAAGTTTTAGATTTCACATTTTTGGACTAGGGATGCTCAATTGGTAAAGACTACGCAAATACTCCTCATCTTACAAAAACCCAAACCTGTAATGTTTCTGATCACAACCATTTTACTCATCTGCAGCTACAAATTTAGTGGCTAAGGTTTCCAAGAGCAGAAAACTAGTTAATGGACTAGTATTATATCAACAGTACAGGTCTAAGATGTGGCTTTGTTACTATGTGACTCGAAGAAATACGCTTTACCACATTCAGGCCTTCGTCTTCTCACTTATGAGACAGGCATGAACTAAGAGATTTCTATATATGATTTCTCTATAAAATGTTATGGTTTTGTGATTACGTAAGAGCCAATGATCAAAAAATTTCAACAAGGCCAGGCACTGGTGGCTCACGCCTATAATCCTACCTACTCAGGAGGCAGAGATCAGGAGGATCGTGGTTTGAAGTCAGCCTGGGCAAACAGTTAGCGAGACCCTATCTCGAAAAAAACACATGGCAAAAAAAGGGCTAGTGGAGTGAGTCAAGGTGTAGGCCCTGAGTTCAAGCACCAGAACCGGGGTGGGGGTGTGGGGGGGTGGAGTTTCAATAAACACATGTAACCCCAACCTGCAAAAACTCAACAGGGCCAAAGCCTTATGTTTATTTCAGTCTTAAAGTCTATATCTTGGAAGATATTCACATGCTGTCAACTGTGCACCCCTACCCCCCGTTTTGTAAATCAGAAGTGGTAAACAAATATTCAAAATTTAAGTTCAAATGCTGCTCTAAAATTAATGTCTCACATACGACTCTCTGTATCATTAATCTGACATGCTTAAAAACCAACCACCAGGGCTCATGAGTGGCTGAAGTGGTAAAGCGTGAGGACCTGAGTTCAAGCCACTGTACTGCCAAAATTAAGTAAGTAAATAAATAAAACCCACCAAAAAACAAAAACTCCAAACTTCACAGCCACAATATCTCTAAGATACTGGATAAGGCTAACTAAACAGGAAGTTAATTATGCCATTAAACTTTTGGTAGGTAACCCTAATTTACAAAGTAACGTCTAACCAACCTTTTAGTCATTGGCGATTGCCATCGCTTTCCCATCTGCATCCTGAGAGCAGTGGAGAAAAACAAACGTCAAGAATTCCATTCACTAAATTACTTACTTCTATGGAGTTAAAGCCCACTGATGGAGATTTTTTTTTTTAATTTCCAAAGAATATTCTATGATTTAACTATGTATTCTTCTCATCATATACACATATGAACCAGTGGCTCAAACCTTAACCCAATTCTCACTAAACTACCATGAAAGAAAAAGAAAGAAAAACAAAACCCTAACCAAATCCCACCACCATCTCCAAGTTCTTGAAGCCCACCCTTTAAATTATAAAGCTTCATCACAACTACAGAACACCAAGGAAGACCATTAAAGAAGACTGTTACCGAGGGGAAGGCTCTTTTTGGCGTTTTCGTGGTGATGGAGAGGCACTCCGGGAAGGGGAATGTCTCCGCCGCCTGCCTACCTCACCATTCTTCACATGGGATCTCTTGGGTCGCTCATCTTCTGAAGAGGAGGAGGAGCCAGAGTCTACACATAAATAAACAAAAAAATGACACTAGGCCTATGCTTAAAAGATCATGTCTCAGTGGGATACTGATGCCTCACACCTGTAATTCTAGCTACTTGGGAGGCTGAGACTGGGAAGATCAGAGTTTGAAGCCAGTGGAGCAAATAGTTTGTGATATCCCCACCTCCAAAATAACCAGAGCAAAATGGACTGGAGATGTGGCGTAAGCAGGAGAGTTTGAACTCAAAGCCCTGAGTTCAAACTCCACTTGTCCCCCACACCCCTCCTGCCAAAGAAAAAAGTTTTCTGATTCAAGTATACTGGCAATATTATCATATGCTCAACTGACTTCAAAACCAGGCCTAAGTAAGTATTCAACATCTTGTAAATAAGATAAATCTGTTTCTACAGTACAACCCAATCAACATGATATAAGTGTCTCCTAAAAAGTCTGGTGATTTTCCAAATAACTAAGCGAAGCTTAAAAAGGCGTAGAGCGCCTGCCAGACAGGCTCTCCACCACTTGAGCCTTTATGGCATATACGTACACATGCATATACATATATACATAAAATTTTTTTTGGTGGGATTGGGGTTTGAACTCAGGGATTCATGGTTACAGAGCAGGCACTCTACACTTGAGCCACACCTGCATAAGATATGTGTATATATACATTTTTATTATATTCTTATAAATTCTCATATATATGTTGCACAGGCTGGTTAAGTGGACCAGGTGGCAGAACACCTGCCTAGCAGGTGTGAGGTCCTGAATTCAAACCCCAGTACTACAAACCAACCTGCACCAAAAAAAAAAAAACCCCCCAAAACCAACACCCACTGCAGCCAGCAAAAGCATGGAGACTCATAAAACAAGAAATATGCTGTATATAGTGAGCTCCCCCACCTCAATTTTAAACCATAAACATCTACATACACACAGGAAATTTCTGAACAAAAACTTAGTGAAGACTGGGAGATTATGAAAGCAGAGCACTTACACTTTCCCAATTTTATAGTTGTTTTCTCTTTATTTTTGTATTCTAAGGATCGATTTTCTTTCTTTTTGTAGGTACTAGAGCTTGAACCCAGAGCCTTGTGCTTGCTAGGCAGGTGCCCTATCAACTGAGCTGGGGATAAAACCAAGACCTAGCATATACTAACATATGTTCTACCACTGAGTTACACTTCCAGCCTCCAGATCTAACACTTCTGTAACAAGATAAACCTGGGCAGGGAAGACACTCTGTCTTGCCAACAATTTTCCATATAGGCACAGATATTTTTCTTCAATATAATCACTACAATCTGAAGAATGTTTCTTTTTGTTTGTTTCTTTTGTTGAGACAGGGTCTCACTCTGCAGCCCAGGCTGAAATCAAACTCAATTTTCCTTATTCAACCTCCTGAGTGCTGGTATTACAGGCGTGAAACACCATGCCCTGCTAGGTACAATATTTTTAATTTAGAAATGCAGGTCAAAAGTTCAATTGGTGCCCATACCAGATGAAGACTGCTGGTTCTGTCGCCTGTACTGGCGTCTCTGCTGCACAGAATCTGCTGCAGCCATCTTGCCACCTTTATCTTCTTCTGAAAGATGGATGCATTTAGAAAGTGTTTCTTTAGTTATGCATACAGGTAATTTGACATATCTGAACAGCAAGAGTCTCCCAAACTTTTATCTAGCTAAGTAAAGTTATAAATTATAATCAAAACCAAACTTTAATTTAGACATTTGGTACAGGCCAGGCTAGATGCCAAGCATTCTATAAACAGTTCAGTTACCTGCCAAAACCTGTGTTATTTCAAAACCCAGATGAATTAAGTAATTAAAACAAAATAGTTAAATGCTAGAGCTGAGAATTCCAATGAGGCCTGTCTCTGACTTCAGCCTTAACTTCTTCACCAAGCCATATCCTATATAATTAATCTCCCACCAGAAGGGAAAGACCAGACATGCAAAAAATGCAAAGTCAGCCTTTAACGTAACAGAGAAACTTACCTGATTCAGATAACTCTACTTTTCTAGGCTTTGGTGCTGGTGAAGGTGACTCTCTTTTCTCAGTACCTTTGTGTTTTGTCACTAAAAAAAGATTAGGGGGAGAAAAAAAAAAACAAAACAAAAAAACACTTATATGTAATAAAAAGGACCACACGAGATGCCTTATTAGTGCAAAAACATAGGTATGACTATTTGCAAAAAGAACTAAGAATTTACAATTTTCTATACGATCTTGTTACCACCATGAAGTAGAAGAATTAGATTCTCCCAACAGAACCAGCAATGGTTCTTAATAACAGCAATGGGAGCTGTTATTAAGTAGAATAAGCTTTATGCTATGTGTAACAATTAGCTCAGAAAGTAAACCTCTGTGTTACTTGAGCCCCACAACCTGTAACACACATACATACACCCAATTTTGGAGCCTTCACCAACATTAAACCCTTCAAACAACTGCCATAGGGGAGTTAAACAAAGAATAAAGATAGTAAGTGACTAAGAAATAAGACTGGGGCTGGGATGTAGCTCACTAGCAAAGTACTCATCTAGCACACAAGAGGCCCAATGTTCAATCACAGTCCCCAGGACTATGAAATAAAATAAATAAAAGTAAAATAATAAAAAGAAGTTGGGCGCCAGTGGCTCACATCTGTAATCCTAGCCACTTGGGAGGCTGAGAAAAGGAGGGCAGCCTAGATAAATAGTTCATAAGACCCCATATCCAAAATAACCAGACTAAAATGGACAGGAGGTATGGCTCACAAGGTAGAGCAACTGCTTTTGCAAGGGTGAAGTCCTGAATTCAAACCAAAAAGGAAAAGAACAAGGAAGTAAGACTAGTAAAACTTTCATAGGAGAAAGTATCTGGTCAGGAAAACTGAAATAATTGTCTTTCCAAGAGGCTAAAGGCTCTATGTATTATAAAATCTTCCTAATAAGCATGAGGAATTTAAACTACTTTGAAAAACAAAAAACATCAACCAACAAAAATTGTCAAATACTAGTTGGGTATGCACACCTATAATCCCCCTACTGTGGAGGTGGAGACAGGAGGATTACTAGTTCAAGGGCAGTCCAGGGAAAGTACCATTGAGACCCTGTCTCAAAAACAAAATAACAAAAGGGTTGGAGAAGTGACTTAAGAGGTAGAGCTCTTCCCTAGCATGTGCAAGGCTCTGGGTTCACTCCTCAGCACTGCAAAGCAAAAATAAAACAAAACCCCCTAAAACCAAAATCTAAAACAAAATAGCCTGAAAGATTCTTTCCAAAACACTGAGACAGAAAAGAAAAAAAAAAAACCACTTTATACCTAAGATAGTGAGAGAGTAAAAAAGTGACCTTTTATTCATAATTATGGAAATTATTATGCCTTCTGTATGGGCAGTGTATTGTACATACTGTTAAGTATCAGATTCTTTCCACTCTTCTGCCCCATTTTACAAGAGAAATCTGAAGCTTAAGAAGTAACTTTATCACAGCTACAGAGGCAAAGTGATCAAAAGTATGAATCCAAGATTCTGTTTTCAGCACACTGGCTTGGATTCCCATCAACTACTCTCTATGCCTGTAACATCCATTTGCTCCTGAAAGCAAAATCTTAAGTATATACAGATGATTATTAATCTTACTATGGATTAACTTGAAACACCATTTTAAGAAATCTCTAAAACATAAACCTGTAGACAAAGTGATCTCCTTAGGAGACTTAAACTTATCTGTATAATTAATGCAACTATTATGGGATGTTTGACCCAGAATGACGTCAATCTAATTTAACAGATACCCTATTTAGATTTCTCTAATGCCTTATTCCAAAGGGGTAGTAACTTAGAAATTATTTTTTAATGACTAGAATTTTATTGACCAGTAAGTCATTTGAACAAACTACTGGATTAGGTAAAGAACAGTTAGCACCTCGTTAGTTAACATGAATGAGAGGCAGTGAGGACCACCAAAGTGTATTTAAAACTTGCATTTTAACAAATTCAAAGCAATAAAATCTTGACAAAAGGAGGGCAGTACTGAGGTCTGAACTCAGGAACTCACAATTGCTAGGCAGGTACTCTACTAAAAATATTTTTAAAACTTTAAACATTTAAGGCTATTTCTTATTCATGTCCTCCATTTTTAACTATCAGCCCTCAATTCTTGGAATAGACTGTTTGTAGGGTGTTACTGGGATTTGAACTTGGGTCTTTGCTTGCTAGGCAGGCATTTAACTGCTTGAGCCTCAGTCCTTGGACAGACTTTAAAGACATAAAGCACATATCCAGCCTGGCATAGTAGTGTATCCTGTCATCTCAGAATTTAGGAGGCTAAAACAGGAGGATTGTTAATCTGAGGGCAGTCTGGGCTACACAGTGAGAGCTTGTCTAAAAAGAGGACAGGACAGGGAGCAGATGAGAAGTGAGAAGGGAAAAAAAGTAGGTATTATCCTAAAAAACATAAATGAAAACACAAATTTTGAGTTTTATCCTGACTCAATCTCCTATTAATGTCTTAGATAACGTAGCCTTTAATAAGTAATACATTTATACCACCAAGAAAAAACCCTCAAATACTATATACTTCACTATAGTTTAAAACCAACTCAATCATACCCATTATTATAAATGACAACATTTCAGGTTTCTATTTTTCTAGGTGAGATTTACAGTTTGTCATGTTAATGGTGCTTTAAGTATGCAAGGGGCTAAATCAGTTTAGCATGAAGTAGGAATCTACTGAAGTCTGTTACACATTTGAGTGATGCCACTGCACTCATTATCAATAGAGACTAATGAGCGGGCTGGTGGAGTGGCTCAAGTAGTAGAGTACCTGCCCAGCAAGAGTGAGGCCCTGAGTTCAAACCCCAGTCCTGCCAAAAAATAAAATAAAATAATCAATAGAGACTAATGAAACAATTTCCGAAATCATAGTACCAGGTATAGAAGCTAAGGAAATTTCATCCACTCTTCATCTCCCTCATGCAATCAAAAGGCATTCTGGAGTAGAAAGTTCAGCCAAGTATACATTACCTACTCCAAAATTATAACTCTTAAGAACCTGTTTCTTGATGACAATAGCTAGGGTCGTTCCCAGCTCTCACATTTCATCAGAGACCTGGGAATCTTTGAATACGGTATAAAAAAGGTTATTCCCAAGTAGCTCAACCCAACGTTCAGCTTCAGCGGACTTAAGGCTGCTCACAGTGTGCTTGTATAGCTGTTTTTTTTTTTTTTGGACAGGGGAAGTCCTGTCTCAGAGCTCACAAAAATACAGCCACCAGTCCCTGTCCTCCACCATGACTTCTCTACTATGCACATATTCACTGTGTCCTGTCTGCAAAAAGTGTAAGTCAAAAATCCAAGAGGTTGGCATTTGAGCACTATCTCTAAAAAAGTAACTAATAATTCCTAACAATCATGCCATTTGAATAAGGATTTAGTTCTTCCTGTTCAGGTACTTTTGTAACTCTGGCTGTATGATCTAAACGGAAAAATCCTAATTTGACGTGTTTAAAATTTTACAGTATTTTTTTTTTCCTAGATAGCATCCTGGCTCCAGACAAATGAAATATTTTAGTGCAAACCTCACATGCAAAATACATCAGGGCAATGAGCATCAGATTTAAACACAGTAACTGAAACCACAGATGATCTGAAAATTTCACAATTTTTTGGACAAAAACATGGTGCACAAAGTTATGAAAACAGTGATCCTGAGGCCTCCCCCATACTTAAAGGATCATATCTTATTTACCTAATTACCAAATTAACTTGGTAAGTTAAAATTCAGAAGTAACCCAGACATTACATTTTGTGGATTGCCAGTACCCGCTGGTCCTCCTTCTTCTACTCTAATATTTCACTTATGAGCTCATCTACATAATAGGTCAAAAAAAGTAGAGACAAACGTTCCCTTTCTAGACATCACCACACTGCAGAGTTCAGGGGGCAGGTATGCTGGGGAAACACACAGGAGAGAGACCAACTAGAAATTCTAATGTCATGGAACTTATTAAAATATATATTGAAAAATGTTCTCGCCAGGCGCTAGTGACTCACACCCTGTAATCCTAGTTACTCAGGAGGATCACTGTTTGAAGTCAGCCAGGGCAAATAGTTCGTGAGACCCTGGAGATTCTATCTTGAAAACAAACAAACAAACAAAACAAAACAAAACAAAAAACCAAAACACCAAAAAAGGGTGGTGGAGTGGCTGAGGGTGAAGGCCTTGAGTTCAAGTCCCCAGTACCAAGGAGGGGAAAAAAAAATTCTCACCTCCACTTATTTCTAACCTGAAATTTTCAATAGGCCAACAACCCCTATGTTAGCTTACAAATTGCTCCTTAATGTCCAATTGCTACAGCAGCCTTTACAGTCCTCCCCGCTCCCCTACCACTCACCTTTCACACCATCTTTATCACTCCAGTCCTAGTACTAGAGACACAATTCAAATGGATCCTACAGGATCCTATCGTTTTTCTCCATGTGTATTTAGTACTAAAAAAACAAACCCCAGTAGACCACAACCTTCACTCAGACTAACACAGCATTCTACTTGCCTGGCAGGATCACAGATCATAAATTCCTCAGAAATCAATCTGCAGAATAAAGCAAGGACAAAACTCAGAAGAACCCCGCCTAGAGTCTAAATTATAAAAACAAATCAAATTTTAAGAAGACACCATGTTCTTCCTTTGGGAGCACAATGTGGCCAAAAGAGAATTAAAATGGAATACAAAGTCTTCATGTAACTTATCAAATGAAAAATCTTCAGGGAAAAAAAAAAAAAAAACTGGTTTCAGTGTAGTAACAGTCCTTGCCTACTGATCTATTTCTACACTTGCTCAATGCCAGAGGGCACTGGTAAAAAACAGGCTTTTGCTTATAGTCTTTTTCATCAAACCTGAGATTTAAAGCAGGATAAAAAAGGTAAGCCTATAATCAAATCTACAAAGAATATTACATGTAAATTATACTCAGTTAACATGTAAGTTACCTCGTATTTTTGAAGGTGGTGGTAAGGAAACGTAAGTACATTCTTTGTAGCTAAACAGAGAATGTTTTCATGTTTTTACCTTTACCTGAAGTTCTCCCTGGAGACACAGAAACACGACTTTTTCTTGTACGATTTGATTGCTGGGGTGTTGGGGAATGACGAGTTTTTGGAGGTGGAGTTGCAGGGGGCGATGGCCTGTGTCGTCGCCTTGGAGGACTTGCTGAAGGAGATAACCTACGAGTTTTTCGAGGGGGGCTGGAAGTCCTCTTGGGAGGCTTCTTTGGCAGGGACCGGGAGCGAGATGAAGAGGATGATGAGCTACTCCCGGACAAGGATGCTGATGAGCGCCTTCTTCTGTGGAATAAAACACTGGTATTCACTAATGGCACACTTACAGTAACCCTACAGTATAGAGTTTACACAGAAATAGCTACTGAATCCAACTTGAGTTTATGTAGCTAAGTACATAAAATGAGCACCCTCCCAATCAAAAAAAAAAAAAAAAACCCAACACCCAGGGAAACAAAACCATAACCTAGGACAGGAAACAGGTAGTTCTGAGATTTAAAAACTTCTGGTAAATGTTTCTGTTTGCGTTGTCTCCAAAGTTATAAAACTTGTCAAGGTGAATGTTATAACCCAGTCAAGTTGAATGTTATAACCCAGTAACTAATCAGTCTTTTTTCTTTCTTAGGAATGATATTGGTGTTTTGGAGTTTGCATACAAAATTTGGGTACAAAGTATTTTTCACTCAAGACGTCACAAGCAACCTTTAAGATGCATTAAAAAAAAAAAAAAGACTAAGAATTCATTTAGCTACATAAACTTAGAAGCAGGTGCCTCTTGAATTCTGCGGCAAAATTTGTGGCAAGTTCTGTTGCAATTATGTGTACCTGCAGAATTCACCTTTGGCAGAAGAATTCCTGAGAACCTGAAAAAAAGAAACCCTACCTTAAGTGTGAGATTAAAAACTGGTTGAAAGGGAATTTTACACAATCTGTAAAATATTTTCACTGCTAAATGGCACAGTAAGAACTATTAGAACATGCTGTTTGCAAAACTCCAGTATAAAAATAGCTGTTTCCACTAATCTCATGCCAGGAAGCACCAGCGTTACTTTTCAAAAGTGGGATGCCTGAAATGACCAACCAATTATATTGTGTAACTTTATTAATCGTTAGTAACAACAGTTGTGTGTTTTTAACAGTGATATGAACTGTTCAATATACCCTGACAACCCCTCCCCTCCTAAAGCAGTATTTTTTATTTGTTTGTAAAAGTATGGGACTGAAAATCTTGACTGCAAACTTTATGAACCTCCTTTGATGCTTCCTCTGCTTCCAAGTTGATTTGGTTTCCTGAAAAAAACCCTAAAGACTCAAATATAAAAAGGACTGTCAGGGATGGAGTTGTACCTCAGTAGTAGAATGTGTTTAACATGTGTGAGGTCCTGGGTTCAAACCCCAGGCAAAGAAAGAAAAGGGAGCAAGGGAAGGAGAAAGGAAGGACAGGAGGACAAAGAAAAGAAACTAAGTTCTGTCCAAAGTATAACCTGAAAGTTTAGCCATCATAGTTCCTCCCCAAAACAGGCGACATGTATTGTCAAGAAGGCAGGTGCACCAGACCTCTACTTTGGGTACAGTTGGTCACAATCTTTTTGTTACAGTGATATATCCAAGATTGAAACATTTTACCTTACGCTCACTTTAGAATAATTTAAGCATTTTAGGCATATTTAAAAAGAATATTGCTACTGGCAGAGTTAAGATTTATGCTTAACAGCTTCAAAAACAACCAGATAGCAAACTACTAATAATGGTTACATCTATGAAATGAGATTATGGGGATGTTTCTATTTATGCCATCTGTTAATTGGTTTATAATAAGCCTCATTACCTGTATAATGAGAAAAGGCCACATTAAAAAATTACAGTAAAATAGCAACTGGATTAAAAACTGGTAAAAGTAGCTTTGTGGTCTAGTAGCCAGTTAACTTTTCAGACACTGGCAAGTTAAACAACAAATGGTAGATGGCTAATTCACTTACTTGGTAGAATTTCTTAACAACATCCCTAAAGGCCAAATTAACATCAAGTATCTACCAGATAATGAGTTTCTTATTTTCTTTTCCAACACTATAGATGACACTCTTCAGAAGACATTATCTAGTATCACTTATAACACGTCTTCCCACGAGACACTTAAGATTAACCTAAAATTATCTCCAAACAAAGATTATCCAAAAGTGTCAAACACCTGACACTTCCAAATTAAAAAGAACAAGTCTCACCGTCTCCCTGGAGACCTACTCCTCCTGTGCCTGGGGGGAGGAGGCATTCGTCTTGGTGGGGTTCTTCTTCGAGGAGATGGCCGCCTCCTTGGGCTAGGCCGCCTTCTAGGTGAATACGATCTGCCGTAACAAACAAAATAAGGCCAGGAATAAATGAGGAGAAAAGAATTTCCTTTTTTTGGCGGCACCAGGGTTTGAACTCAGGGCCTCATGCTTGCTAGGCAGGCACTCTACCACTTGAGCCATTCCACCATCTCCACTAGAACACTTTTTATGACTTTTGAGTTAACGTGATTCTACCTGAGAAAACAGCATATACAACCTACACTCTATGCTGATCTTAAGGCCACAACACACCTTGATCGAGATCTATGGCGCCTTCTTGGTCGAGCATGGGAAGGAGAGCGAGAGCGTGTTCGGGACCTTGATTTAGAACGTGACCGAGATCTTGGTCGGGTCTTTTCCTTTTCCTTTTCTTTTTTGGAATTTTTTTCTGGAGAAGGTTCTTTAGGCTCTGGTGCAGGTTCAGGCTTGGGAACTTTCAGGATGTCACTGTAGAAATAAAAGCTTATTTTTTTCTTTCTTTACTCAGACTGCTAAGTCAACCCAATAATGTCCAAATGAACTTCTCTTTATAAGGTCGTTTTTTGGTTTTTTTTGGTGGGACTGAGGGGATTTGAACTCAGGGCTTTACTCTCACAAAGCAGGCACTCTATAACTTGAGCCACACCTCCAGTCCATTTTGCCCTGGTTATTCTGGAGGTGGGGTTTGGCAAACTATTTGCTCTAGCTAGCCTGATCAGCTATATTCCCAATCTCAGCCTCCCAAGTAGCTAGGATTACAAGCATGAACCAATGGCACCTGAATGAAGAACTAGTAATTCTTAATTAACCACATACATACTTAAAAAAAAGGGGGGGAGTGTAGCTCAGTAGTAGAGTTCTTGCCTAGCATGAGCAAGGCCCCGAGTCTGATCCCCAACACCACAGGGGGAAAAAATATGACATAAATCAAGCAGTGTCCACAATATATTACGGGGGAAAAACTAAGTTACAGTATTAAAAATATTTGAAACAATATAACCAACAGACAATGGTCACCTTTGGGGTGACCTATACAATCTCAATTTCATTTAATAAACTAATTTTATAATTTAAAAAATATAAAAGAAAAAAAGACAAAATATCTGAAAGAAAATAAGTAATCTGTAACTCAGAGATGTCATATATTTGCCAGTGATATATATATTTTTTTTTCTTTTTGGTGGCATCAGGGGATGAACCCACGGCCTCCACTTTCCAGTGCAGGTACTGCTGACAGCTGAAACATTTTGATTATTTAGAAATCAGTTTGTATGTGCTTGCCTAGTAGATGTGGCCTCTTGTACTGAAGGTTCTTTTATTTTCACTGAAGGTTCTGGAAGCTCTGGAGTTTTTTCCTTCTTTTCTGGAGCAGGGGAAGGACTCCGGCTCTTGGTTCTGTGACGGGGAGATCGAGAATGACTGCGCTTTCTCTCTCTCCTGACAGGGGAAGATCGTCTTCTAGGGGAAGGAGATCTGGATTTGCGTCTAGGATGAAAGCAATTTTTTTTAGATTTTTGAAAACTGTGTATTAGAGGAGAGGGTCAAAGGGAGAAGTGAAGATGAATCCTTTAATTTACCCACTGTTATTTGCATCTGAGAAGTTCCATAGGAAAAAAGATATCCTACCTCATCTAGCTGATCAGAAAATAGCCAAGAGAAATCAGAAGGGCAAGCAATGAAAGGTAACATACTCAAAATGAATCAATCAGTTATGAGGTAGGAAAGCACTGACTTGGGTAGACTTAGAAATCATTCCAAGACCAATTGCTCAGAGAAAAGGTGTTTAAAAGTAAACAGTAATATTCCTTAACAGTAAATCCACCCCACCTAAATACAGTGTTTAGACACAGACTGATCACACCAGAGTTGATCAGGTACAACCCAAGAATGTCAGAAAACGACTAGTACAATTAAAGCAGCATATTCTTTAGAAGTGAAGAGAAATGCCAAACTTGCATATGGTAGCTTTTTTGGAGAAGGAAAAGCCCCCTTCCCTTTTAATCACTGTGAAGGAAAACAGCAAACTTAGAACATTTGTTACCACTATGATGGTTTGTGCTTAACTCTTAACAGTACTGCTTTCCTAAGTAGGCTTTAATATAAAATATAAAATAAAGGGACAAAGAAATTAACTATTCACCCTATTCTAATTCCAGCAGACTTATGAAAGAAAAATCCTAATGAAAAGCCTAATGGAATTCTCACCTTTAGCCACAAATATAGTAGAAGCTGAATCGTGGATTTAAAAATGTGAACCTAACAATAGTCTCATTGGAAGGAAGAAGAAAACAAATAAATGATCTGAAGTTTAGGTTCAGTACAACCATCTAAGAAAAGCAGAACAGGGAATTAGGTAAGTATTAAATGAATGGCTACTAAGTACAGATTTCTAATAAAAAAGAAATAGAAGGAAAAAAGAATGAACCAGAATATAAAAAATAATAAATTAAATGCTATTATTTAAACTAAAGCAATTCGGAGTAAGTATAGACATTTATTTAGGAATTAAGAGCTAGATAGCTTACCAAGATATTAGTGATGATCATTTTAGTGAAATGATCAGCAATAAAACAAAACATAAAAAGATTTATTTTTTTGATGACACTCTAAACACGTTTGGAATCTTGCTATGTTGCTCAGGCTGGCCTTGAACTCATACTACTCCTGCTCCAACCTCCCAAGTAGCTGGATTATAGATGTGTACCACCACATCCCATAACATGAAAGATTTCTTTAGCCCTGAGGCAAGCCATAGTTCAACCATGAGAACTGTACAATCAAAGAAATCCCTCAATAATGCTACTAGACTCCTCTAATTGTGGAAGCTTCTGCTACAGAACTCCTTAAGACCTAAAGTACTTCAAAACATTAGGCATGCATCCATTATATTATACCTCCTGGGGCTTCGCGATCTCTCCCTCTTTTCTCTGCTGCTTTCTTTTTCTTCTTTATCCCTCTTATCTTTGTCTTCATCTTGCTTCTTCATAGATGCCAATTTTTCCTGTTCAATCTGCAAGGTTAGGTTTTCATAACACAGAGCTGAGCATATGAGAAAAACACAATCTGGAGACTACACATCTGATAAACACCAATGCTGTTTAACTGTCATCTCATCAACCTGTTTTGAACAAAACTGTCCTTTCTTTACCCACATTGCAGGTACACATTAAGATTAGGATCACTGCCACTTATTTACAAATAAATACTGGCTAAAGATCAACCTCTAAGACCTATACTAAAGATATAGTGCTGTTTTCAATTTTGCCTACAAAAATCATTTTCATTCATCTTATTCTCTTGGGATTTTACATGTATTGCCTTTAAGAGAATGTGTGTTTACTTTTTAGTTATGTATCAAATTACTGGCCTCTGGGAAAATAACACTCTAAACACAATGTTTGATTTTG